CCCCCCCGGGGTCCAACACCACTGTTGCTAGGATGTTCCCTGCGTTTCAGACCATGAGGAACACTCTGAGCAACTTTGCCTGTTTTCCAGAACTGGTTGCCCCCTGTCTCCGCACCTGTCCCCACGCAGCGACCCCGGCGTGACAACCCTGTTTATCGCAATGATATACAATACAGCACGTGATATAGCAAGCGTAGGGAACTCGTGATCCCTCACAGTATTGGCCAGGCTTCCACCTGAGTGTTAGTGTCTAGTGCCACCCCTGTTAGCACCCTGCATGCAAAGTCCGCGGCTTTGTTTACCCAAGCAAAGATTAAGCAAGCTGCTGTAGGTGACAGTGTGGTAAACTTGACCAATGTCCCTCAAATAGTCGATAGCCTTTACCTCCGCTGCCTCAGGTACAAGCTCTCTGGCCTGTAATGTACCGTCCAGTTCCAGTGAACAGTATGGTAAACTCGACCCATCCCTCAAATAATCAGTAGCCTTTACGTCTGCTGCCTCAGGTAGAAGCTCTCTGGCCCGTGTAATGTACCGTCTAACTGGAAATCCAAGTTTAACACAGATCACAAGCAATGACCCCCTCTCGCTCATGAATCTGCACCGCCTTTGGTGGCAATCCAAATGTTAGGTGAGCGTTATACACCTTACACTTGGGCTTGCCTCCTTGATGTCTATCCGTTGGGCACATATCACCCTGGCCATCTCACATTCATGCACTTCCCTTGTTTAATCACAGATGCTCCATATCCGTTGGGCACATATCACCCTGGCCATCTCACATTCATGCACTTCCCTTGTTTAATCACAGATGCTCCACCACTGTCCTCAGCTCCGCCAACTCTCTCCTATGCCTCTTTGAATCTGTGCTGAGATTTTTACGTGTTTTTCTGAGCGGGCATGCCCTAACATTATCGTATACACATCTGATTCCATCAGAATCAGAATTTCGAACACACAAGCTGTTTGTTATCATCTGGTTGCATAGACCATTCAGGTAGCAATAATAATTGACAACAACACTGTACCAAGCAATACGCAAAGCACAGTCACCGTACTCATCTACGTGTGGAATATTACAATGAGGACGGAACTATGGTCTGTACCATTCAGGTAGTAATAGTAATTGACAACAACAACTGTACCAACAACTACGTGTGGAATAGTACAATGACGAAGGAACCTATGGTCTGTGTTTGTCAATATTGTCTATGTTACAGCCTGCATTTGTCGAGTTTACATTATTTTCTTGGCCAGGCAGCAAAGCTGAGAAGCGGGAAAAGGGATTGGAACCATCAACCTTAGCCTTGGCAAGGCTATACTCTTATCACTAAGCTATTTCCGGCATCAATCCACTTTGTGGTGTGCTCGCCGTGAGATGAGAGGCCGTAGGGAAATCAAATAAAAGAAACGAAAACGCTCTTGTCAGCGCGGCTCTCCATCGGAGCAGAGTGGGCATAAGTATATTTGTACCAAGCAATGCACAAAGCACAGTCAATGCACTCATGCATGATTGGAATATTACAATGAGGAAGGAACTATGGTCTGTGCTTGTCAATATTATCTCTGTTACAGCCTGTGCAATGAACCTCTTAGTTCAACACTAGTGAACACACATATTCACACCTAATGCGTATATGATATCACACGAAGTTCACACTGAAGACCAGAGAGATTAAGAACAGAAACGCAGCTTATGAATTCCGACAAGTTATACAAGAGCAATAAGAGTTCCGAGTCACCAGCGCACAACAGCGCATGTCATAGGTAACCAAACGTCCAACATAATCACCCAGGTAAGTATCTTCTTCCTCCTTGCTCTTCTCTCTCTGTTGTAGCTCCCCTCCTTGCTGGTCTTCTCCCTAGCTTATGACCTCGCTGTATCTTCTCTCCCTACATGCATGCCCACTCGCACTAACTTCTACTCAAAGATCTACTCTGAATACACCCACTGTCAACTCTACTAACCTATCTGGAGTCCACTACTAACAGCTAGCACTAACACTTCTGCACTGGCGCAGCTATGGCTGCCTTCTCCCTGCCAGCGCTATCTTCCTCTCTCTCCCTCACTTAGCGCAGCACTCTGGCCTCAGCGCTCTGCTCCTCACTTCAGCGCACAAGTGCACCAGCACTTCCACACTTCTTGCGAATGAGCAATCTGACTGGATGTGAGGCTGGCCAGTTCTTTTGTAGTCTTGGTTTGCACTTCAACTCGTGCCAGCCTCTGTTTCTTGGGTCCTGACTGGTTCCGGTACCACATCCCCACGGCCTGTCTGCTTCTGAATGTCAAGGCCTGGAACCTTCCCGAATTTCAATTGGACTGCTGCTGCTTGGGCCTTTGAGTCATGACTTTTCACTTGTGAACATGACTTTTGACTGTGGACAGTGACTCTTGCCTGTGGGTCACGACTTTTGCCTGTGATACTACCTTTTACTCGTGGGATGTGTCTCTTCAATAAGACTTTTCATTAGGAAACGTGACTCCTGCCTTTGAGACATGACTCTTGCTTGGTGAATCTGCCTTTTCACTCGTGGGATGTGACTCTTCTTGAGTTGCTTTTTATTATGAGACGTGACTCTTGTCCCTGAGACGTGACTGTTTGCTGGGTGCCTGTTAGACCAGACTGCTGAGGTACCCGATTGTGACTTTTCTGAGTTTGACGAACTCGGCCTTCCTCGACCTGGGCATCTGACCCTGAGGTCCGAATTTGGGGTCTGAATCGTGGAAGGCCTTTCACCTGCATTTGTCCAGTTTATCTTTGGTACTCTATGCCGATCTTAGGAAATGATTTGTGGGAGATGTTTGCTTGGATGTCTGTATGGCAGCTGTGATGGATGCTGTATGAGGTGGTTCCATGGTTCGAAAAAGTCGGGAGAAGATTCGGACTGTCCAACCCTTGTCCTCAGTGCAGCTCTTCTACGGGTAAGTTGAAAACAGTGGTTTCTCTGGTATGTGTTTCTTTCTTTGGAATAATGTCTGCGGATATTTATGTTTGCCCTCTTCATGTTTTGATGTATGTTGTGTTTACCAATTCTCCACAGTTTTTTTACTATCATGCAGCCTGTATGTAACTCGGAGTCTGTGTCCCAACGAGTGTGGTCTATATTGATGATTTGGGCGTTGAAACGAGTGTCGTCTATGTTGATGATTCGAGTGTTCAGAACTTGTGTGGTGTTCATTGTTGATAAATAGGAAACTGTGTGAATTCAACTGTGTATTCAAATTCAAGCAGATTCCCAGTTCTTCAGCACGCCTGGAAGGCCTCTGACATGCATGTTCTGCCACTTGATGTAGGTAGAGAGCGTATTTGGTCCTGTTGCGACCGTGTGCATGCACCTCTTTGGAGCTCTCAAAAAGTGCAACCCCTTTGTAGCATTGTAGAAGGGGAAAACTGCTGAGCATTCTTGACTCTTTCCAGAACCGTACGTTTGGCCGTGGTATCTCTATGGACTGCTGCTCACATCCTGTTTCCAGACGTTTGTGCAGGGTGGTTATGTATACAGCAGGAATTTCGAGGGCCCATTGGATTTAGTAGCTGGTTTCAAAAGATCTGCGGGCAAGGGAGAACTTTTGTTGGAGGTGATTGGCAACATGAGAAGTTGGTAGTCGGGGGAAAGGGAATTGTGGACTGCATGCTTGTGTCAAGCTGCTTTCTGAGATCAAGTTCTAGGCTTCTAGCCTCTTCAGAAGTTGATACTCTGTAATGGGGAGTGGTTGCTGAGCGAGTTGAAAATGCAGCTGCAACGATCGATCAATGCTATTCTTCTCTCCTCGTACGTGTTGCCGTGCTGGGTTATTTGCTGACATGGTGGGTGGTAGGTGGTGAGCCTTGAACACTAGGTCAACTTGAATGCGAGGCAAACAAAAACAGAGAAAATTAAAAAAAGCAAGTGAATGAGCAAGACAAGTGCGTAAGTGGTACCGATGGACATAGCTCAGTTGGTACACCCATGAACTGTGGAGATGCAGACCCAAGGTCGATCAGATGAACAGAATAAAATGATTCTGAAGTGGCGGGGGCCGGTGGGGCCGGTCAGGTCAATGATGATATCCCAAGGCCCTTGCCCTTTCAAAAAATAAAAAATAAAAATAAGTGCGTAAGCGTTGACATTTTGGGTCTCTTTAGTAAGGGTCTGGACTCTGGATTGAGTGAAGCATGCTAGTCCTGCCGGAGAGTGGCTCCTTTGGTAAGGGTCTGGACTCTGGATCGAGTGTGGCATGCGGGAGAGTGTCTCCTCAGCTTTACAGGGGTTCTGATCTTGGTGATTGACTGTCAGGAGGCCTCAATTTTGTTGTGTTGGGCCGCACAACGAAACCTTCTGGGATGCACACCATCTGCTCTCAACACCATCTGCTCTCAACAGTGAGTTACTAGAGACCCACAGCCACGCGGATGGGTTTACAGCATACTTGCGGCGCATCTCCTGCGCGGGGGCGCGGCACATGCGGCGCAAAGCGCACGCACATGAGATGC